CCTCTGGATGATGCAAAGTCCCAGGCTGGCGGGATCTGCCCCTGCCCTCTCCTTCTGGCTGACTCTCCACGCTCTCGGCCTCTCCGCGCCTGGCTCCCAGCTCAGAGAAAGCCAGGAAAGTGATGGTATCACTTAGATGGAGATAAGCGCCAGCTCCTTGAGGCAGTCCATGGGGGTGCAATGCGTAAATAGAGAATATGATCATGCAAACAGGATGCGAGACTGAGAAAAGTAAGCTTAGGGTACTAAAGACAACCAGAACGAAGTATGTCACGCTAAGGACAATCTGTAGGACTACACGTAAAATTGTAATCATCTTTTTGAATAATCCTCTAGCTACCTGAGAGTACCATGTTTTCTTAAAAATATGAAATTTTAGATACTTTGTGATCTATAGAGAATAATTCCTCAACTAGAAAAATATCCTAAATTTTTGGGCCGGCCCGGTGGCGCACTGGATAAGTGCGCCGCTTGGGAAGCGCAGTGGCGCTCCTGCCCGAGGGTTCAGATCCCACATACGGACCGGTTCCCGCTCACTGGCTGACAAATGAGGTGTGTTCAAATGGATAGACCATGATGACCTACAGTAGGACTGACCGGCTCTGAAGTGCAGCTCGCCGTGATCTACCTGTTTGAACATGTCTCACTTGGTCCCACACTGACCAGCTAGAGCCCCTGTGTTGCCCAGACTGGTGACCATCATTTCCAGTGATAGAGCAGAGTCTTGGTTTCCTCTTCAGTAATGATGCCACCCATACCTAACACAGAGTGCTATTGCCAGGATTTAAAACAATGCACGTAGCCAGCCCGGTGGCTCACTCGGGAGAGTGCGGTGCTGATAAAACAATGCATGTGAAAAACATGTAGGAAGCATCCAATAAATGGTGTTTATGTATTTCACCTTTCAGGATTAAGGCATTGTAACAAAACACCGGCCTTTACAGAAGCTTCTAAGTTTCCCTTTCCCTCCAGGAAAAAAAGGGATAAGCTTTTCCTCCGTGGTTTAAGTTATTCCTGAGCTCTCTATATTGTCTTTTGGAAAACTATTCCAATTTTTGTGGCATGTTATGTTTTAGGATTTATATGTACATCTACTTCTTTTGCCAATAATTATTCAAGACAGGTATATATGATTTTTGCAGATAAATCAGTGTCTGAAAAACAACATAATTAAATCAAATTAAATAACATTTCTTAATGTTGTTGATATAAAGTAAATAATTTTTGGATTGAACCCCAGAGTTGTTCCATGAAGTAGCTTAAATCTCTGCTTTGCCTTTTATTTGATAAATATATTTTTAAGCATAAAATTTCTAAAGATTAACACACAAAAATCATTAAATTAAGAATATCAAGGACATAGTGCTGTTTTTCATAGTTTACCTGAAAGAATTACAGCTTCAGGGATTGGAGGTAACAGAAGTGGTCCCTCTAATGTCCTCTTCTTCTCAGGAAAGAAGCTATGAAGGACACGTCAATATCTGGGCTGAGTTTGGTATGTACAGTGATTCTAGAATTAACAAACACATGTCTACACTGGCAATTGGGATGAGATATATATAGGCTCAGTTAGGATGCTACTGCCCATGGAATCTTCTTGATTCTTGACAAGTAAGAACCTTTAAGAATTTTCATTGTTTTTTCTGAACTATCTGGTTGAACTCTGGAGGGTAAGCAAGACCCTAATGTCCTAAAAAAAAATTATTTACTTTAGAGAAGAAATATCTTTCTTGGATTCTTAGAAATCTTAGACTCATCTCTTCCTTTGACTGTGTAGACATAGAACAAGTTCTTAAAAGGATTATTTTCCTCTTAGATTTTTTCTCCCTTGGAGCTTAATGCATGAGCCCTAGCTTGCTTTAGTGACTCCTGAGATGGCAGCCTAGTATTTGTTTCTTCACTGAGTTGTGTCTGAGGAAGAAATATTTAAATTGATTATTGTCTTCTCCAGTTCCTTGATGGCACTTTACCACACCCACAGCCAATAAAATATTGATAGAGAAATAAAACTGAAGACTACCTCATGATTCAGTTACTCAAAACTATAAAAAGCTTTTGCTAAGTAACAGTATTTAGAAGGACAACTCAATAGGTTAGAGGGGGTAAATTGACATGTGAACATCCATCACATTTTATTAAGCAAATCAAAAATAGATTTAATCTTTAATATGTGTCTCTATAGTATAAAATTTACTGGATTCAATTGTTGATTATATGCTCAGCAGATTAGCTAATTACATGAGGCAGATGCTTGATGCATATTAATTTGGATTCTCATGTCGATTATAACTATCTTTGGTTCATAATGTGGCCCCTACTTGGCACAGCTGAGAAACAATGAGGGTGTTCACTTGACGTGTAACTGCAGGCAATTCTGCAGGAGGGACAGCATGGCATCCTGGGAGGAGTCCTGAGCCACAAGGTGGCATCCTGGCTTCTAATGTTCATCAGCCACATGGCCTTGGGCCAGTCACTCACTTCTTATAATCATACTGGGTGTATCTGCTGCATAGGAATAGCGCGCAAGTCCTGGGAGCTATTATTAATTATTACCATGGGGACCAGAGTGGGAAACAGCTTCTTAATCACGTTTCTACAATAGCTCCTTACTAACAATTATTTAAAGGTAAAATGTTAACTCAATAGTTAAAAACACTTTAGGAAATTAAAGAGACAGATAATTCCAAGTGTTGGTGAAGATGTGGAGCAACTAGAATTCTCGTACATTGCTATGAGTGGGAATATGAAATGGTACAACCACTTTCGAAATCAGTTTGGGAGTTTCTTAAAAAGTTAAACATGCATTTACAGTATGATCCAGTAATTCCACTCCTAGGTGTTTACATAGAGAAACAAAACACAACTGGACACACAGACTTGTACATAAGTGTTTATAACAGCTTGATTCATCACAGCCCAAAATAGCCCCAAACTGGAAACAACCCAAATGCCCACCAAAAGATGAATGAATAAACAATACACACACATACACACACACACACGCACACGTGCACTCATGTATACAAACGTACTTCCTTTACAGGAGGACTTAGCTCTCTTAGTTCTAACACACAGTGAGGTAACTGTGGTTAACAATCATATGTTGTATATTTCAATTAGCAAGAAGAGAGGATTTTGAAAGTTCTGCCAATTATATGTATTGAAATGTCACACTGTACCCCATAAATATGTACAATTATGTGCCAATAAAATTAAAAAGAAGGAAAATAGAGTTGAAAGATAATACAAGTATTTTCATGAACTATTCAAAGTACCCTTGTATAGTGGAATGCTGTTCAGCAGCAAAAAGGAATGAGCTGCTGATGCCTGCAACAAAGTGGATGGGTCTTGAGAACAGTACGCTAAGCGAAAGCAGCCGGTTGCAGAAAGAGCAGTACTGTACGGGACCACTTCCCGAATCATGCGAAAGAAACGCGTAGGGGCAGAAAGTGTTTGTCTGGGGCAGTGAGTTGGGGGGAATTGACTGCAGAGGGGAAGAGGGAACTTACTGGAAAGAGGAGAAGATTCTGTACCTTGATTGTGGTGGTTTCACAGGTGTGAACATTTGATAAAACTCATCAAAATGTATATTTGAAATGGGTGTATTTTACTATGTGTAAATTACATCTCAGTGAAGTCGAATGAGAAAGTGACACTCACATAGGAAAGCAGTGACAGACATGCAGCTGAAGTGCTCAGGCTGGCTGGTCCCTGGCACTGAGCTGGCACTGAGGAAGTGGCAGACCTTCTTAGACCGGGGCCATGTTGTAGCTGGCTCTCCAAACAAACCTTAAGGCCTGATCTAATTCTACTCCCAGGCTGACCATCTTTCATAAAAACCTTGCTATATCTCTGTTTATGAAAGCACTTTGTAAGCCAGAAAGTGCTCTATCCAGTCAACAAAGGTGGCTACTGCCAAGGCTAACCGTCCACCTGCTCAGGGTCCTGAGCTGCCCATGTGGGAACCTTCTAGAGGACGACACATGAAGGAGAGGGCATCCCCCCAAGCCTCCAGGTGGACCTGGCACCTGCAATCACGTCCTTCCCCTCGCCCACCTGCCCTCAGCTGAGCTTCCCTTGCCTCACACAGCAACAGTCCCTCGATAACCTGTAAAGGAATAATGAATAAATGGACACAAAGACAGCCTTCTTTAATGCACACAAAAATTTTTAAAATTAAATGAATTCTTCCTTGTGGCATTGTGAGTAAGAGCTTGGGCCCAGGGTCAGACTTCATATGTCCAGAGACCAGACCTTCCAAAGCAGCTGGATGCACCTATGAAGTCCTTTACCCTCTCTGTGCCTCAGCTTCCTTGTCTGTAAACGAGGGGTCAAAGTAGTAATACCACAGGACGGCTGATGTCAGAATCAAATGAGGGAGGGCACCAAGGTCCTTCACACTGTGGCTGGCCCCCAGGAAGAAAGTGACAACTGAGGACTACAAATACTACTGGATAATTCTGTCCTCTTGATTCCTATAGGATATCAGGGAGCATGTTATCAACTCCATGCACAGTAACCTACTCAGACTCCAGGTCTGGAAGAACAAGAGTCCCCGTAGACACTCAGCCCAGTCACGTAAGAGAAAACGGTGGGGCACAGCCACACTGTCAGGTTTGAATTTCGCATTCCACACTGATTGCTAGTGTTGTATTTTACCCGCACCTAACTGAGAAGCCTGGCAAGTGTGCTGTAATTGCATAAACAGGCAGAAAGAGTCCAGCCACACACCGTGGTCGAGAAATGTAGAAAACTGGGGGGCTCTAGCTAACCAAGTAGGAAATTAATAATTTATTTAGAATTACTAAGAAAATATCTGTCAAGCAGGCAGCAACGTATCACATACAAGAGACTTCCTGCTGTAGTGAGGGTCCTGCGCTCTTCCTGAGAAGTATATATTCTTGGAAAGAAAATGATGCAACTCCAGATGCAACTTCAGTACCCTGGCATTTCCCCTCTTTTTTTCACTCATTTGTGTGTCTCTTCCATCCCCCGTGTAGCTCCACCAACCCTCCCAGACGTCGGTGGGTCAAGCGGCCTCCCCAGGCAGCCTCTTGCACCTGGCTCACAGCCAAGCGTCCGTGTCTCAGAGTCCCGTCCGGCAGGCCACCTCGTCCTCCTCCTCCTCGTCCTCGTCCTCCTCGGCTTTGAGCGTGGGCCAGCTAGTCAGCAGTAAGTGTCCCTCCTGGCTCGGTCGGAACATGGTGCCCTCCTCATTGCCCGTTTGCTGTGCCTTCCCTTCTTTCTTTCTCTCTCTGCTTCTCTCTCTCTCAACCCTGCAGAGGAATTTCCTGGCCCTGCTCGGCCGGTGTTGGCATGACGACGTCTGTGCCCAGGGCCAGGCGGTTCCTGGGGCAGGGCGGGCTCATCTCGGCGCCCCCCTGTGCAGCGTCAGTGCGGGCACCTCGGAGGCAGAGGCTGATGAGTTTGCGGGGCAGGAGCCACATGGCTCACAAGCAAATAGCCCACAACAGGCACTCAGCCGGCGGGTCAAGCTGCTTTCCTGTGTGTTTGAAATCCCCTGCGTTCTGCTTGTAGGTGTCAGAGGAAATACGAGAGAGCGTGCCTGTGGGCGGGCGGGCGTGCAAGGAGCCGCCTGCAGGGGCAGGTGGGGAGGCTGCCCGGGCTGGAATCCGATGGGAGGCCTCTGAACCACCGTTCAGAAAATGAAACAGGCCTGTGAGGCTGCCTCCCGGAGTAGGCTGTATATATGTAATTTTTAGAGATGGTATTTGGCCCTAGGTGAAGACAGCATATTTAACACATGCAAATGGAAACATGTTAAGATGAATGGAATGACGGTCTAATTTAATGTCAGTTATTCCCCTTTAGTGCACTTTTTACTTAAACTGTATATAAAATCACAGAACATGTGCAAAGATTGCAATTCAGCAGAGACCAAAAATCCGGTAGTTCTGGGTTTCAAGGGTTTAAGCGCTGCATAGGTATCTGTGCCATAACATGAGGTAAGGATCTATGTGAGTGACCTGCTGTAGCAGGAACAATGAGGATCCTCACGTGTGTGGGTCAAATCTGGTCAGCAAAGCAGGACGGAGGGTTGCCATGTCCTCCCCCACAAGCAACCACCCCAAAAAGAAAAAGTATATATATATAAATATATTAAATTGTGTGGATGCTTGTGGGTGGGAAGAGAAGGGAAAGCTGCAATGCCCAGTACTCATGGGCCAGCCTGGGTGCTCGTGACCTTACAGTTGGTCAATATCATGCAGAGGTTCAGGATGCATGTGGAGTTTTCCACCAACTGGTATTTTAGGTTGTTGAAATGTACAACCCCTCTCCATTTGGGCCAGAAATCCTAGTCTTACATAAATAAAATTAATTTAATTATGCCGGATTTTCCTCAATAAGGTGGTTGTGAGTAAAGATTCAAACTTGGTTCCAATTCAGTATTCTGCATCAGTTTCTGCAAAATACTCTGTTTCTAAATGACAGCAAGATCATAAATTTAGGATAGGATGTTAAGCTTTGGTCCTGAAAGAAAAAGAGACCAAGGTCAAGCATCTTATAGAGAAGAAACAAGTTAAACATGAAATAAAAGTACAAAGCACCCTGCTAATATGGTATTTTTCACAAGGTAAACACTCAGTACATGTTAGACGGACTGAGAGATGAGTGGATGGATGGACAGACAGTAGACAGATGGGTGGGCAGAACTGAATTCTCTCTAGTCACTTTTCATAAGATGGGCACGGAAGGATTAGCCTTTTTCAGAAATCAGTAACACAGCTACTTAATGGGCTAGATGGAATTCAATTGTACACTAGCCAGTGGGACACCTAAGTTTTAGGTCTATGATGAGTGAACCATATTATATAACCTTGATGTGAAAGATAAAGACCTGGGAGAGAGAGACTCCTTTAGCGCAGACGCTTGAAGCAGGAAACTCCACAGCCATGTGTAGAGCCTGAGCAGAGAGGCCACACCAAGTCTGCAGTCTTCTCTGGCAGTACCATGAGGGATCAGACTTTGCACAAACCCATTGTTGGACTTACCATAGCTCTAGATTTGGGGCATATTATTTAGTTAATTCCCTTCTGTCTCAAAACCCAACTATTGAATGAATAATACATGGATCGTATCCCTCTGGTTTGATAATTTGCTATGATGGCTCACAGAACTCAGGGAAACACATTTACCGGTTTACTATAAAGGACGTGACAAAGGATACAGATGAACAGCCACATGAAGAGGTACGTAGGATAAGGTCTGGAAGGGAACTTCTGTCCCTGTGGCGTTGGGGTGTACCACCCTCCCAGCATGTGGATGTGTTCACCAACCCAGAAGCTCTCTGAACCCTGGAGCTCAGGATTTTTATGGAAGCTTCATGGTATAGGCAGAATTGATTATTAACTCAGTCTCAGCCCCTCTCGCCTCCCCAGTGGATGGAGGCTTGGGATGAATAAGCTTCTAATCATAGCTTAGTCTTTCTAATGACTAGCCCCCCATCTTGAAGCCACCCAAGAGCTCACCAGGAGTCACCTCATTAGAACAAAAGACTCTCCTATCACCCAGAAAGTTCCAGGGGATTTAGGGGCTCTGTGTCAGGAACTGGAGTCAAAGACCAAATATTAGAACAAAAGATGCTCTCAGCACCCCTATTACTTAGGAAATTACAAGAGTTTTAGGAGCTCTGTGCCAGGAATCAGGGATGAAGACCAAATATGTGTTTCTGGTACTATCACAGTAATACAGATTCTTTGGTTGAAACCATGGTCAATGAGCCATGACCATGTCATTGTCAACGACTCTCACCCTAGTGCTGGTCAGCCTACCGCATGCCAGAGGAGGTAGAATGCTGGATCATACAAAAACGTTGCCCACTGCAGGCAAAGGAATGCTGAGTTATGTCCTAGTAGTGATAACGGGGTCGTCATGTGCAAAGAGCGCCACATCTGGGCTCAGGACTGCAAATGTACACCCTTGTTAGAACATCCGCTCGGCACCTGTTCACAGCACCCACACACCTTGCCCAGTGGTAAACCTCGCTCCCTCTCCAGTCATCAGAGGGAGACGTAGTCTCTATAAGAAGGGTTTTTAAAGTGTAGAAGAAAAGTCAAACAATGACTTGACAAATATCCCAATTTGGTTTAAGATTTACAGTACACTGTTTTAAAATAGGTACTGTTCTGTTTAAAAATCTGAAGGTTTTGATGATTTGTTGATTTTTTTTTCAGTACACTCTTTCTAAAACCCTGGCTTGTAAGCTTTATCCTTAGACAGGACTGATAGCTAGTCTCAGAAAAGCCAAAACTATGAAGTAAAAGTAAAGAGGCACGGCCATAGCTTAGAGCACGTGAAACCCGGGTCACCATTCGCGCCGTTTCTCACACCCAGCGAAGGCACCATGCTGCACATGTGCTTTTCTCCTGCACCACATTGCACACTCCCAAATCGCTTTTATTTTTCAGAAATATTTGGCAACTGTGCCCATTTTGCTGTGAGAATGGCACTAAGAAGCAGACCGATGTTTACATAAGATAGTTAATTCGTCCTTTTAGCAACTTCTTTAAGATGCGTCTTACTCCCGTAACAACCCCACGAGCCGGGGTCGTGCAAGGATCAGGGAGGTGCACAGCGACCGTTCAGCCCAGTTTGCAGCCTCTTACACTGACACCCAGGGAAACGGTGGGAAGGAGCCACATGTAAAAAACAAAACAGAACATCTGTCTTGGTGCATCCTCAGCACTCAATTCAGTATGCACCCAGAGACCATGCAATCAGATTCTACAGAATAGGTTCATGTTCACACAATTTGCATTTAGTTCCCATAAAAATCTTTTTACTTTTCAATCTAGGCATTCCAGACTTGATTTGGGAAAACACCGATTTATCCTAAAGCTCCAGTCCAGCTAACCCCTCTATAGGTTGATCTTCTGACTCTTCTAGCAAGGGTCAGATTCAGGGTAGACCCTGGCTATCATTGCTAGAAGAAGATCCTGGCCTTGTATTTAATATATTGGGCTGACTTAACCTGGATCAAATGCCCACAAAAGGTGCCACTTCCTCCTCAGTCCAGAGAAACCACAGACTGGGTTGCCCTAGAGCTGCTTAAAGGTGCTGGGTCCACCTTGTGGGGGACCTGAAGTTCCCCCTGAAGTCCCCATCAAGGTGGCCTTAGATTTATCCTTAAAATTAACCCAATCTCTCAGAGCCAAGAGAATGGGTGACAGCACCCCAGATTGACCTGTCCCAGGGCTGCATGTCAGCTCTGCACTAGGTTGAGAGCCGAGGTGACCTTCCAGGGAAGCCTCCATTTCCACGCTCACCTCTTGTCTCCCTCCTCAAGCACAGGAGCATGTATCCCTGAAGGAAGGGGAGCTCTTCCGACAGTGAGGCAGCCCCAAGAGTTAAAGATAGAAAAAATAGCATTTGTCTTTTGATTAGTTCGAAACGCCTTACAGACACCTTCTAATGAATTCTCCCAATGTGTGAAGACAAGCTGTGCATGTAATAGGGGTAAAGCTAGTATTTGCCCAGGAAAGGGCCCCTTCTTTGGATGGGGAGACTTCTGCAGTCTTGGAACCTATGGAGCAAAACCACAGCACATTTGCCTCCTGAGTTGTCTGGATGAGAAAGAAAGCCAATTGGGTCATCTCCAGGCATCAACACATTGCACAGAGATGCTGAGTCCCTTTCCTGGGCCTTTGTCCAGTCCACCATCACCTGGTTTGAATTTCACAAGAACTCCTGTCTTACCACCTCTCTATGTAGAACCGGGAGAAAAGACAAGCGTGGGAAGTGTGTGAGAGGGGGAAGAAGGAACTCGCTTTCCCAGCGTGATGAAAGTTCTTGGACTCAGGGCCCAGGCACCCATGTCTCTGAGCTTCAGAGTGATGTTTGGTAATCCACACGACTCTGCTCAGTGCGTGACAGCCAAGAGTCCACAGCTTTCTTTTCCACTCAGGGTGTTGTCAGTGCTCTGGCAAAAAGCAACCTGCACAATCACACATCCAGATTTAGTTTCTAGACTCCAGGGACTAGTAAGGAGATATAAACAATAAAGGCAGCAGGGAAAGGGAAGAAAAATGATAGGACGCATTTCTATAAAATTGCAACCCAAGTCACAAACCTACCCAGTGCTGTGCTGCTAAATCTGGTGGCAGCACAGGCCCAGGGACTGGAGTAGACCACGGAAATCCTTCTAGATTAAAGACCTGCTGCCACATGCTGGTTAAGTCAATTGATTCTAGCTGATCTAGAGATGGGACTAGTAAAGGCAGAACACATGCTTCCCACAGGGCTATTTAGCTTTGCCCACGGAAAAGCCCTCTTCCCCACCACAGACTGCACTGGCAGCCCCAACCTGCTGGCTCCCAGACCTTTGCCACTTGCCGTATGTGGTCAGGTGGGGAGGAAGGACAGGGTGGCTGCGTGCTCAGGAGCCCATCAGTCCCACACAGGTGAGACAGCAGCTCTTCTGTGCAGTCCAGCACACCGAATAGCAATGGTGAAGGGTCAAGAACAAGAGCGGCGTGCAGAGGACACCACAGCTGCACCTGGTCAGGACAGAGCCTCGGAGGAAGATTTCTGTAAGTGGGGTCAGGGATCCCCTGCGTGGAATCTCCCATGGTACTCGTTAAGAAGGCACATCCCTGGGCCCCACCAGGTGACTCTCACACCTGCTGAATCAAGGACACCACGGTCTTAAAAGTCATGTTGTTACAAGGAAAGTCTTGGCTTCCGTTTCTTCAGTTTTGAACCCCCACTGCCCACCCTTGCAAGGCTGCTCATCCCTCTTCCCTCGCTCACTGCACCACTCTGTTAGGAGCGTCCCTCTCCGCTCTAAACCAGGGTTTCTCGACTATTATTTTATTGTCGCCCCATTTTCCCTGCAAAAAGCCTTTTNAAACCAGGGTTTCTCGACTATTATTTTATTGTCGCCCCATTTTCCCTGCAAAAAGCCTTTTTTTTTTATCCTAATTACCCTCCTTTCCCCACGAAATTTTAATGGCACAGGTATTCTGCACATCTGTTCTGTCTATGCACCATGGCCCCTTGCTTCCCCCCTAGAGCCAATATCAGCCCCATCGGGAACGTGTGCTCCAGACACAGGGTCACGGGGCAGGCTGAGCAGCAGCGGGTCTTAGGAGGGCTGGAGATGAGGATGAGGAACTGGAGGGGCAGCCAGAATTAGTTCCAGCTGACCCCGTGACCAAGTGCACACGGAGATCCCATACAGCCAAATCTTCTCACGTTTCAAAAGAACAAGGAAAATCTAGATTTTTCTGTAGAAATCAATGTTTACATGTTGGTGGATAATTTGAAAAATTTGTACGCAATAGGAAAGCTGGGTTTCCTTTGCAAGCTGCTCATTTGCAACCCCTGCTCTAGGGGTGTTTTAATGAAGAAACATGAGAAAGGGCTGGAGACTGCTGTGTGCATGGATGTGAATCCTTAGCACACCCCAGGAGCTGCTTTGGGATTCTGTGGTGGTGGGATTTAAGATCCAGGGGGCAGCCACCACAAGGTACCACCCAAATGAGTCCTTCACTAACCAAGTGTTGCAGACCTCCTGGGGGAAGTTTTGGAAGAAAAAGCAGGATTTTGATTCATCTTAACAGCCAAACTAGTTTCATAGTCACCTCCACCCCTACCCATGCACAGATTCTCAATGCCCTGTGCTGAAATACCCACCACTCCTGGCACGAGCTACTCCTCCACCCTACTCACTTTCAGGCCTGCTCAGTGCTCTGTCCCTCCCTGCCTCTGTGCCTGTCTGCACGCAGTCCCCACCGAGTGGATGTGGCCCTCCATTCTCTGAGCAATGCCCGCTGGGTAAGACCCAGCTGAATCCTCCTGCCTGTCCCCTCTGCTCTGCATACCCATGTGGTGCCTCGCCATTAGCTCTTGATTATATTCTGTCTGGTATTTTTCCTGTGCAACCCCCTAGAGACTCTAAACTCCATAGAAGCGGAATTTCTTCTTATGTTTCTCTTGCCCCCGCCCCCACTCAGTTAGGACTCCCAGGTGTCACTAAAAAAAGTACTATATACTGAAGGCAGTGGTGGTGCCACTTTCCAATCTTCCCACAATGAAAGTTTGACTCATAATGTGAAAATTCGACAGGACCTTTTTTTCAAGGTGAGGATAAAGGTACAATGTACACCTGCATTGCTGATTCTATTGACAGAGTCCATTGTCCTTAGGCTGGAGGGGACCCCCCCCCCCAGTCATGAGAGAATCTGTACAGGGAGCATCAAACCTCCCGCAGATATTAACATCCTTATTTCAAAGTCCTTGAAAAATCAGCATTTGGGATGCAAGTGCCCACCAGAGTTTCTATAGCCCTGAGCCCAGAAGAGTCATAAGTCCACCACGGTCCTTGGACAAATACTTGAATTTACTGAAATTGGTGGGTTATTGTGCAGAAAGAAGAAGAGAAAAACTTTCACCTAAGTCCGAGGGATGAGGTGCAGAACAATAGAGGCGGCTGGCGGGGAGAGCGGCTCCACGCCAGGCAGGACTGCGCTGCACTTGCAAATCTTCCACCATCCCCAGCCCATGCTGTCTCCAGCCTGGTGCACGCTTTCATTTATCCAGGGATCAGTAGCCAGGGGGGGGGAAGTTTCATTCTCCAGCTGTTATGTCATTTCCCTTGATAAGTCCTAAATTGACCACGTTATCCAGCACCAAAGGAGCCTTCCTGTGGTCGGCATTTTTTATTATGTGCCCTTTCGGGGAACAAAGGCGTCTGTGTCAGTAAACCGCTATGGGGGGAAAAAGACAATATTATCCTCGCAGCTTCACCAGCATGCTCTTCTGAGGGGCTAACGTGAACGTAAGAAATTAGGCAACATTACCATCTTTTAGCCTGGCTGCATTGGTGATCAGATAAAGGAAAAACACAAAACACTATTTTTTTCAAGGGCAGTTTTTAGCAATAAAAATTTCAACTAGAACACTTCAAATGGAATCCATGTTTACACTTTTGCACAACATTTAAACATATTTATGGGCGAAATGGAGGTGCCTCCCCACAGGCGTGCCTCCCCATGCTGGCTGTTTTTGTTAGGCCCAGGGAACATGCCTTTGCATTGTGGTAGTGGCACCGTGAGCAAACGGGTGTTTCTGGGATAGAAACATCTCGAAGGAATATTTGTGGAGGTGTAACGAGTTGAGGATGGGGGCTTGAGTGCCTCACCTGGGAAACAAAGAGAACATTCCGTGCCGTTGGTCTTTCCTCCACTCTGCTATTAAACAGAGCCACTTTCTTATAAACCGTAATAAAAGATACCACTCGGTTGTGTGTTGACGTATTGATCCTATTTTTACAAACATCTCCACAGATCCTCAAACGGCAGCGGGTGAGGTGGACGGGGTTAATCTGGAGGAGATCCGAGAATTTGCCAAAGCTTTTAAAATCCGGCGCCTGTCCCTTGGCCTGACCCAGACTCAGGTGGGACAGGCTCTCAGTGCTACCGAGGGCCCCGCATACAGCCAGTCGGCCATCTGCAGGTAACCCGCGCCTGCATGCTGTCACCTCCCCTGGCTGGCCTGGGCCGTGTTTGTCCTCGCGGCTCAGCTTTTCTTCTTCGGGTGGGCAAAGCTGGATAGGCAGAGTGTGGGAGCACCGTGTCGGGTAGCCGTATGTTGGGATTGGTGATATCCATGCAAATGAAGGTGCTAAAGCATATTTGGGGGTCCTGGCTGCATAACTCCTGTCAACTCACGCAGAACTTCCAAGGCGGTCTCATTGGACGTGCACCCCCCCAGGCCAGCAGCCTTCCTGCTGGGCCCACACCCCTGTCCACATGCAGGTGTCCTGAGCAAATGCAAATCTGCCAGTCTTCATTTGTGTGAATGCTTGCACTATTTCTGCCAGAGATGGCTATCAGGATTTTCCAAGAAAACATACATTTAAAAAAAAAAAAAATTTAACCATCTTGTGACCTTGAAGGCGTTTTTTAACTTGCTTTCTCAGACAGCTTTAAAAGCACATTTTAAAAAAAAAAAAGAAGCAGCTGCTTTAAATGGCTCAGAAAAGGGTAGTGAGAATCTGGCCTAACCTTGCCCGTCCCCCCCCCCCCCACACACACACAC